TTTTCTGCCAACTTTGCACCTCTGTATCTCGGTAAGTACTGATGGCAAATTTTTTTTTTAGGCTTTAAACACTCGGTAAAATAATCCTAACATTTTGGTAAAAAATAATTTTTTTTTTTCGAATATTTTGCAACACAATGAGTTTCAGAAAGGGGCCTGCAACAGTCAAAGGGTTATTAATATATTTACAGATGAGATTGTAAAAGAAGTAAATGCTATGGTGTTGGGGAGAGGGGTGAGATTAAATTATGGAGAATCAAATACAGAGTTGACACAGTTACTTTTTGCTGATGATACTTTGCGTTTGGGAGATTCTAAAGAGAAGTTGCATAGGTTAGTGGACGAGTTTGGGAGGGTGTGTAAGGTGATGAGGGTATCAAACGAGTTAAGTAAAGAAAAATTGGATATCACATTAGAAGAAAATGTGTTCAGATATTTGGGAGTAGATTTGTCAGCAGATGGGTTTATGGACGATGAGGTTAATCACAGAACTGATGAAGGGAAAAAAGGTGAGTGGTGCACTGAGGTATCTGTGGAGACAAAAAAAAAATGTTATCCATGGAAGCAAAGAAGGGAATGTACAAGAGTATAGTGGTATCAACACTCTTATATGGGTGTGAAGCATAGGTTGTGAATGCTGCAGTGAGAAAGAGGCTGGAGGCAGTGGAGATGTGTCTTAGGGCAATGTGTGGTGTAAATATTATGCAGAAAACTCATAGTGTGGAAATTAAGAAGCAGCGTGGAGTTACTAAATGTACTGTTCAGAGGGATGAAGAGGGGTTATTGAGGTGGTTTGGTCATCTAGAAAGAATGAATCAAAGTAGAATCACTTGGAGAGCATATAAATCTATTGGGGAAGGAGGGGTAGAGGTCGTCCTTGGAAAGGATGGAGGGAAGGGGGCCTGGACATACATCAGGCATGTGTGAGTATGTTCGATAGGAGTGAATGGAGATAAATGGTTTTTGGGACCTGACAAGCTGTTGGAGCATGAGCAGGGTAATATTTTGTGAAGGGATTCAGGAGAACTGGTTAGCCAGACTTGAGTTCTGGAAGTGAGAAGTACAATGCCTGCACTTGGAGTTTGGAGTGACATCTAAACTGTCATGTCTAGGTGACTCTGCAAAGACAGTGATTTTGCGTGAGTGATGGTGAAAGTGTCTTTTTTTTTGGGGGGGGGGTCACCCTGCCTCAGTGGAAGATGGCCATCATGTTAAAAAAAAAAAAAAAAAGGCAATGAACCCATAGGGCCATATAGCGCTGTGGCAGAGATGTGTGAAAGTTAAGAATGAACAAAGGGTAAGATGTGTAGAAGTATGGGTTAATGCAAGAGTAAAATTAAAATCAATTTTGGTACAATAGGTGAGTTTAGTTAAGTCAAAGAAAGAGTCTGTATTGAAGGTGGGGCTTTCAGTGAGAAGGTTAGTGAGAGTATATTTGGGTGGTTTAGATGCCAGAAGTGGATCCCGCATACACTCTGATAGACAGGACAATCTACAAATTGCACTGGACAGAGTACAACCAGACAGTCCTCACAGTTATGCTGGTCATTTCTCCATGTTATCTATGAGGCATGTAGTCTCCCAAAACCAACAGTCTTTAAGATGACCAAAATCCCAAACGTGATTTTATAGAAAATTTGTTGTGGTCCAAATTTGGACCAACACTGTTGCCAGTAGTTGCAAAGGTGATAAGAGCAATGAAAAATAGAATATGGAATACCCCTATGGGAAATCTGGGGAAGTATAATGACTGGATTTCTGAATACTACTCAGATTATTTTTATTATTAACACATCAGCCGATATCCACCAAGGCAGGGTGGCCTGAAAAAGAAAAACTTTCATCATTCACTCCATCACTGTCTTGCCAGAGGGGTGCTTTACACTACAGTTATGAAACTGCAACATTAACACCCCTCCTTCAGAATGCAGACACTGTACTTCTCATCTTCAGGACTCAAGTCCGGCCCACCGGTTTCCCTGAATCCCTTCATATATATTACTTTGTTCACGCTCCAACAGCACGTCAAGTATTAAAAACCATTTGCCTCCATTCATCCCTATCAAATACGCTCACGCATGCTTGCTGGAAGTCCAAGCCCCCCCCCCCCCCTCAACATTTCCTAGGCCGACCCCTACCCTGCCTTCCCTCCACTACATATTTATACACTCTCGAAGTCATTCTGTTTTGTTCCATTCTCTCTACATGTCCGAATTCTGACAAACAAAAGTATCTAGATTTTGTAACCTCCCTAATTTGTGTTCCCTAAATTAAGTTTTGCTTCTTGTCCCAATAATTACAATTCCTTTATGTATGTGGTGGAGGAAATTACATTTTCATTGTTGTGGCTGTGCTAGGTGGGCTTTGGCTCCCTTTGGTTGGCCATTACATATGAAGGCTAAGCTAATCACTACCCACTGCATTTGCCATGCATGGCAACCTGCAATAATTGTTTCCACTCATCTGGAAACAGGTTTCTTTGGTGAGGGGAAAGAGGTCAGATCTGAAATTCAGTGCAGACCCTGCTGAATCAACTTGCTAGTTTTGTATCTCACTTATCTGGTGGGACAGACTATTTAGCTAGGCCAAGCGATTTTGTGGCTGCCGCATGGTCCTCTTGGTCACTCACATATACCCCTACATTAGCCCTGGGGTGGTTTGCCTTGGTAAATATGTATTTCTTCCCTTACTAGACAATGGTTGGTGGGGGAAATGGGGAGCTGAAGTTTAATTATTGTTAAACGAGTACTGTTAAGAATTCTGCACTTTCCCTGATTTGGCTCTGACTACTAAACTCAAAGGTGATTTACATGTCATCCTTGTGATATTTGACAGCATTTTTCTCATCACAAGGTAACTATTATGAAAACATTTTGCCCACAAAGGGCTTTTATCATTCCAACTGGATTGAATTGATAAAAGTCCCTGGTGGGCAAAATGTTTCCCTAATGAAATATGGAACACTATAGGTTCATTTCCCTCCATCTCATGGTGAGCCTACGGGAAAGGACATTGTCATATAGGCAACATTACTGTGTTACAGAGGAGGCCTACTTTACACAACCTCCCTCTCCATACTTGGTAGCAAATTGATTTATTATCTTTTTATCATCCCATTACATCTCTGTACAATAACCACGGCACCCAAGAGTAATGTGAGTGATCCTGGAGGTGCAAAGAGGCAAAAGCATGAAAGTCTTGGTGTTTTGAAGAAAAATGAGATACAAGTTTAAAAAGAGGTACATGTGTGATGAAGACAGTCCAAACCTAAGGCCTGAATGAGGCATCAATTCATACAAGAAGAATGAGGCAAATATACAAGCTTGTGCAATGAGTAATCCAGATTGTGACCTGAAAAGAATGACGGGTTACAACAGCTAAATATTATGGTAAAAGTTATTGAGTGAATAGATTGAGTAGAAAACCAAGGAAGATCCACCACTTAATTTCATCTTAAGGGGAAAAAAAAAAAAAGCCTTAGAGTACTATATAACAGTGTATGATGAGGGAAGGTCTGAACAAGAGTGCTTGTTGAGTACTGGCTGCTTCAATAAGTTACAACTGTGCAGTCAGGTGCACAATATTAAATTTTCTGATGAAAGTACATCTGTTGATCACATGGCTGCAGGAAATTTCTCTGCTGAATTGCAGGAAATTATCTGCAGGAGTGACTATGAGGCACAGTAAGTGATGATTAGCAAGTAAGAGAAAAATGTACTGGGATTTGAGGCAGCAAATGATTGCTTCAGCTTGCTACTTTTGCAGCAATACATCAAGCAGTTTTAAGTATAAGCCTATGTGTATTTACTGCCCCAAGATTCCCTGTTCTTTGAGAGGTACAGATAAAAAATGTTCACTAGTTATATGGAGGTCAAATCAGTCAGCATGATTGACAAAGGTATTATTTATTGAGTGTTTTAGTCATCACTTTATTCCAGAAGTCATATTTTACCTGCACAGCAAGAACCTTGCTTTGAAGGTTCTCTTTATTCTTGATAATTCCTGTACTTGCCTAGAACTTTTTCAGGATGTGTACCAACGTAAAAGTGGTGTTTTTACCACAAAACACATCTCTAATACAAGCACTGAATCAGAGAGTTATTAAGTGTTAAGAGCAAACACACAAAATGTGATGCTGAAACTTGTTGGAGCAATGAACTGACAGCTTCCCTCAGCCTTGCAGTGCTTTATAACACACATGAGTTTGGTACATTTTGTGAATATAATTTGTGTACAATCCTGTTACAAAATATGAAATTATTTTACTTAACAGTATTTATTTAAATTTTGATTTCGTGCATACTCTTCCTAAAACTTTCCATGCTGTCAGCCTTCAATATATATAACTTCCTTCTTCAGCTTCACTAGTTTATTCAGTATTTATTGCCTCATTCTACTTATGTATAGCTATGGGTTGAAGGGTGTAATGCCAGGACATTTTTTTAACAAAACAAGTATGCTGAAACTAGCCTTTATTTAGATAACATTTCATTCTAAGCAGAGCTTCTTCAAATCATGGAAAAGCTCTATTTAAAGTGAAGTGGCAGTCAAATAAAAGCTCATTTCTGTATGCTTGTATTTTTGTCTGCATGTGCCTTTCATAAGTCGTCCAGCATGTGAATGGATCTTTTAGTAGACTTCCTGAGGTGTGAAAATAAGTGAACAAAGCATATGGGAAGTTTTGAATTCACCTCTTCACTTTGGAGACAAGAATAACATATAAAATGTAACTACATTCAATAAATAATAAAGCTACATACTATAGCAAATAACACTTACATTATAAATTGTACATATAAGCCTCTTACATCAGTCAACTGTCAATATGGAAGACAAACTTATAAAAATTATTTTGAGTAAAGCAGTTGAGCTGTATAACCCATGTAGGTTTAGGACTTTTGAACAGAATAATAATAAAGGATATAAAAAAATAAACGTGCTATCACTGTCTAGGCACTTACTGCATAAAAGAACTTACGGTAATATAGTACAGTACTTACAATTTCTTTCCCAATAGTTTGACAGAATATTATGTAGCTTCCAGTCTTTAGCAGAAGCTGAAGATGAAGGCAGCACAGATGCATTATACAACGTGTGTATTCCCGAGTATGGCAATGGATGTCTCTGATGAAGCTGTAGATCAGTTGTGGTGTAAAGAGCTGATATTGGAATTCCACTGCTGTGCTGCAGAAATCCTAAGCCTTCTAGCACAACCTCACACATGTGCTGTGAAATGACACCATTAAATTACATCACTGAATAAATATCTCGTCAGCAATTTCCATTAATACAATGTAACTCGATGTTTTGTCTTAGAAATTTTCCATTAAATTTTTCATGGTAAGGTCAGATAGATGATCTCAGAATGCATAATGTGTATATTAATATGAGTTTTTAATATTTGAATGTCATAACAATCAAAGCTACATATATAGGTACAACACCAATTTTCCAGCACCCTTGGTTCCTAGGCTTTGTTCGTATATTATAATTATCCATACTTTAAGCTCATAAATTATAGTTCCATTCAATCTTTTTAACTAAAATGCCGGGAACAATGGGCTTGTAACCCCTTTTCCTGTAAAGATAACTAAAAAGAATAAGAAGAAGAAAATTGTCAAAGTGGGAAGTGTGAATGTGCGTGGATGTTGTGCAAATGATAAGAAAGAGATGATTGTGGATGTTATGAATGAGAAGAAACTGGATGTCCTGGCTTTAAGTGAAACAAAGCTGAAGGGGGTGGGAGAGTTTCAATGGAGAGGAATAAATGGGATTAGGTCAGGGGTTTCAAATAGAGTTAGAGTTAGGTAAATTTGGGGTGCCAGGGGTAAATGTAAATGGGGAGCCTTTAATTGAGCTATGTGTAGAAAGAGATTTGGTAATAAGTAATACATATTTAATGAAAAAGAGGATAAATAAATATACAAGGTATGATGTAGCACGTAATGAAAGTAGTTTATTAGATTACGTATTGGTGGATAAAAGGTTGATGGGTAGGCTCCAGGATGTACATGTTTATAGAGGGGCAACTGATATATCGGATCATTATTTAGTTGTAGCTACAGTTAGAGTAAGAGGTAGATGGGAAAAGAGGAAGGTGGCAACAACAAGTAAGAGGGAGGTGAAAGTGTATAAACTAAGGGAGGAGGAAGTTTCGGTGAGATATAAGTGACTATTGGCAGAACGGTGGGCTAGTGCAAAGATGAGTAGTGGGGGGGTTGAAGAGGGTTGGAATAGTTTTAAAAATGCAGTATTAGAATGTGGGGCAGAAGTTTGTGGTTATAGGAGGGTGGGGGCAGGAGGAAAGAGGAGTGATTGGTGGAATGATGAAGTAAAGGGTGTGATAAAAGAGAAAAAGGTAGCTTATGAGAGGTTTTTACAAAGCAGAAGTGTTATAAGAAGAGCAGAGTATATGGAGAGTAAAAGAAAGGTAAAGAGAGTGGTGAGAGAGTGCAAAAGGAGAGCAGATGATAGAGTGGGAGAGGCACTGTCAAGAAATTTTAATGAAAATAAGAAAAAAATTTGGAGTTAAACAAGTTAAGAAAGCCTAGGGAAAGTATGGATTTGTCAGTTAAAAACAGAGTAGGGGAGTTAGTAGATGGGGAGATGGAGGTATTAGGTAGATGGCGAGAATATTTTGAGGAACTTATAAATGTTAAGGAAGAAAGAGAGGCAGTAATTTCATGCACTGGTCAGGGAGGTATACCATCTTTTAGGAGTGAAGAAGAGGAGAATGTTAGTGTGGGGGAGGTACGCGAGGCATTACGTAGAATGAAAGGGGGTAAAGCAGCTGGAACTGATGGGATCATGACAGAAATGTTAAAAGCAGGGGGGGGGATATAGTGTTGGAGTGGTTGGTACTTTTGTTTAATAAATGTATGAAAGAGGGGAAGGTACCTAGGGATTGGCGGAGAGCATGTATAGTCCCTTTATATAAAGGGAAAGGGGACAAAAGAGACTGTAAAAATTATAAAGGAATAAGTTTACTGAGTATACCAGGAAAAGTGTACGGTAGGGTTATAATTGAAAGAATTAGAGGTAAGACAGAATGTAGGATTGCGGATGAGCAAGGAGGTTTCAGAGTGGGTAGGGGATGTGTAGATCAAGTGTTTACATTGAAGCATATATGTGAACAGTATTTAGATAAAGGTAGGGAAGTTTTTATTGCATTTATGGATTTAGAAAAGGCATATGATAAAGTGGATAGAGGAGCAATGTGGCAGATGTTGCAAGTATATGGAAAAGGTGGTAAGTTATTAAATGCTGTAAAGAGTTTTTATGAGGATAGTGAGGCTCAGGTTAGGGTGTGTAGAAGAGAGGGAGACTACTTCCCGGTAAAAGTAGGTCTTAGACAGGGATTTGTAATGTCACCATGGTTGTTTAATATATTTATAGATGGGGTTGTAAAGGAAGTAAATGCTAGGGTGTTCGGGAGAGGGGTGGGATTAAATTTTGGGGAATCAAATTCAAAATGGGAATTGACAGTTACTTTTTGCTGATGATACTGTGCTTATGGGAGATTCTAAAGAAAAATTGCAAAGGTTAGTGGATGAGTTTGGGAATGTGTGTAAAGGTAGAAAGTTGAAAGTGAACATAGAAAAGAGTAAGGTAATGAGGGTATCAAATGATTTAGATAAAGAAAAATTGGATATCAGATTGGGGAGGAGTAGTATGGAAGAAGTGAATGTTTTCAGATAGTACTTGGGAGTTGACGTGTCGGCGGATGGATTTATGAAGGATGAGGTTAATCATAGAATTGACGAGGGAAAAAAGGTGAGTGGTGCGTTGAGGTATATGTGGAGTCAAAAAACGTTATCTATGGAGGCAAAGAAGGGAATGTATGAAAGTATAGTAGTACCAACACTCTTATATGGGTGTGAAGCTTGGGTGGTAAATGCAGCAGTGAGGAGACGGTTGGAGGCAGTGGAGATGTCCTGTTTAAGGGCAATGTGTGGTGTAAATATTATGCAGAAAATTCGGAGTGTGGAAATTAGGAAAAGGTGTGGAGTTAATAAAAGTATTAGTCAGAGGGCAGAAGAGGGGTTGTTGAGGTGGTTTGGTCATTTAGAGAGAATGGATCAAAGTAGAATGACATGGAAAGCATATAAATCTATAGGGGAAGGAAGGAGGGGTAGGGGTCATCCTCGAAAGGGTTGGAGAGAGGGGGTAAAGGAGGTTTTGTGGGCAAGGGGCTTGGACTTTCAGCAAGTGTGCATGAGCGTGTTAGATAGGAGTGAATGGAGACGAATGGTACTTGGGACCTGACGATCTGATGGAGTGTGAGCAGGGTACTATTTAGTGAAGGGATTCAGGGAAACCGGTTATTTTCATATAGTCGGACTTGAGTCCTGGAAATGGGAAGTACAATGCCTGCACTTTAAAGGAGGGGTTTGGGATATTGGCAGTTTGGAGGGATATGTTGTGTATCTATATGTGTATGCTTCTAAACTGTTGTATTCTGAGCACCTCTGCAAAAACAGTGATAATGTGCGAGTGTGGTGAAAGTGTTGAATGATGATAAAAATATTTTCTTTTTGGGGATTTTCTTTCTTTTTTGGGTCACCCTGCCTCGGTGGGAGACGGCCGACTTGTTGAAAAAAAAAAAAAAAAATTATGAATTATTTTGTAACCTCCACCTGTACTGTTCATACATGACAACTTTTGTCATCTCCCACTCAAATTTGACTTCTCTCGACAACAATGTTAATGATGAGCTTCTAAAAATATCCTAAACACTGCTAAAAGTCTAACGGTTCTTAACTACAACATCAGGTCCTTAAGCAAACACTATGATGACCTCCTGGCACTCCTTGAGTCGCTAAAGACACCCTTCTCCTGCATTATTCTCACCGAGACCTGGCTTCAGCAGGACGCAATAGATATCTACCCACTACCAGGATACACAGCAATCCACAACTGCAGACCATACCAAGTTGGGGGTGGTATTGCAATATATTACTCTAACCAACTATCTTGTATTAGCACCACTTGCTTTAGTGATGAATATGGAGAATACATTTTTGCTAATTTTACTGTAAAAAACCTTAAGATGCCTAAAACAGTCGGTGCCATTTACTGGATACCCCACACAAACATCCCAAATTTCAGTGAGAAATTAAAGGCACTAATAACAAACAGACAAATGACCAAGCACCACCTCTTAGCTGGAGACTTCAATATCAACCTTGGTCCACCAGATGATCAGCCTATAACTGATTTCATCAACAATATGAACAACACACTTCTCATACCGACAATAACTAAACCAACCAGGCTGACTGAGACAAGTGCAACTATAATTGACCACATATGGACCAATATACTAGCCCCCCCTTAAGTCCGGGATAATCACAGACAGCACTACTGACCACTACCCCAGCTTCCTCTTAACAAACATTAGTAAACCACCACTGGAATACAACAAAGTTTCATTTAGACTCCATGACGAAGCCTCAATAAGTAATTTCACAGCAAACTTAGACTGTTGACTGGCCTACAGAAATCTCCAAGGACAATGGTATTGACGATTGGACAGATATTTTTCTTAATAAATTACTTAGACTATACAACAAACATAGTCCTATAAAAACGAAACAGATCACAAATAAATGGCTTGGTTGCCCATGGCTAACCAGCAGCATTCTGAAATCCATTGATAAGAAACACCAATATGAAAAGCAATATAGACAGGGCTTAATACACAAAGATATTCCTAAACAGTACTCATCAGTTATCACCAAACTAATAAAAAAAAAGCCAAACAATTGTACTACTCCAGTAGATTCACTGAAACGAGATATAAAAAAAGACCTGGAAAACACACTCCCAGATTCTGGGACCCACAAACTGAAAAAACCAAGAATACTGTCCTAACTAAACCTAATGAAACACCACTGCATCCCAATGATATAGTTAACAAGATAAACGACTTCTTTTCAACCATAGGATCTAATCTCACCAGTAAAATCCCATGTAACAACACCCATGCTGGTGACTACCTAGATGGGAATTTCCCAAATTCCTTCTATCTTCTACCAACTGAGTCCATTGAAGTCACCACGATTATAAAGTCACTTAACCCTCTGACTGTTCTGGTATTATATATACGTCTTACGAGCCAGTGTTTCGGACGTATATACAGTGGTCCCTCGCTTTTCGTAGTTCTCGGCAATCGTAAATTTCGCCAATCATAGGGGTATTTTCATATAAACATGGACTCGCTTTTC